GAGGGATTGTAAACTCATGCCTTAAAGTGCGAAGTCTTTCAAAACACATTTTGAGTGTAGGCGTTCACCAGAATGTTGGCCTCCTTTTCCCGACGGTTGATTTTTGCCGCAGGCTGCCACAAAACATCAGTGCGGTAGAACAGAGCTTAGAAATGGATAAGAACAAATCGAAAGGGAAAGAGGATTGTTAAGAATGGAGGAGATTGACTTGGATTATGCATGAGGAACTAGCAAACTTTAGGCTTAATTATTCATGTTGCAGAATTCTTAGCCCTCTACACATTAGTATACATATTCTCCGTACTTTTTTCCACTGATTTCCTAAGGTGCTGACAAGGAGAATTTGTTTAGCGTTTATTTAAGAGTTTCTTTAGCCGCTGATCATTTCCTTTATTCTTGTGACCTTAACGTTTGATCCAGGGGTGATAATGATAAGAAGAAATTAGATGCTAGTCATTCTAAGGGGTTTTTTTTAGGGTTGACGCAACTTTTCTTTTAAATCTTCTTGTGCTCACAGGTTGAGATGGAGGCAGCAGATGAATCTGCAGTGGAGGCCACTTCAGAAGAAATGGAAAAACAGCAGGAACCAGTGGAGGAAGTAGAGGTAAGAACTAACTAAAGAATGTTTCTATTACAGCAGAAAGTAACACAACGTTGGACACAGAGTCGTTCTTGGACGATCGTAAGTAGCATGCTCATTAATGAATGAAATACGAGGCCTTTGCCGATGGAAGTGGGAAGGTCGTAGTGTAAGTAATCCTCACTCTGTCACAAAAAGCGTTGACTCGTGTAGTGATGTAGCCTCACATGGCCTATGTTGCCAAAAAAGAAACAAGTTCATAACAACCCCAATCCCCCCTCCACCCCCTTTCCTTGATGGAAACTCCTCTCAACGCCCTCAAATCAGTAATCACAGGATTGAACGATGAGTCTTATGTACCCAGCCTCAGGTCTGGTTTTACAACCAAACAAAATCAGCCTCAAAATGACAAAAAAAAATTACTCCGCAATGAAGGAGTTACGAGCTGTCGAGAGATTGCTATGCCTATTCTTACTTGTAAAGTGAATTTGATAGAGTGTAGATGATGTAGATGTTGCATCATAGATGTTCATGTAATAAAAACCTTGTGGCAAAAGGATATCAACAATATCCCTCATGTTAAAAAACAAACAAACAAACAAACCACAAAAACAAAATGTTCAACGTTGGCGTAGCTAATATTCAATTGAAATATTTAAAACCTCAATCAACGAAGGACATGTACTATAGATGAAAATTACAACAAAATATGGTCGAAATGGATAGAGGCAACTGTTAAGGGTATGAATATGACACCATAGTTGGTTACACACTGCTCAAAGGGTTTACATTAAATCATGTAAAACGTTTATGAATGTTTAACACAAAACCCCCAAAAATCAAAATGTCTGAAAAGCGTAAATTCCCAGTTGTGCTATCTGACGTTTTTTGGGCTTGTGTTTGGTTCGATTTAATTCCTCTTTACAAACGAAACAGTTTCCCCATCGGTTCCTCTTCATTCCTTTCTGCGGAAAGGAATGTATATTCTGGGGAAAAATGTGAGCTTCAATGCAGCTAATTTTTTCCAAAGTCAGCGTTTCGATTGTCGGTTTTCCCAGCATACACGCGTTTACTTTTCAAAACTGCACGTTTACAAACAAACGTGAAATGAAGGTTTGGTGTACAGGCTTGTTGCCTGGGCAACAAGAATGCACGGAAAAATTGGGGAAGGTTTAGTTAATTTTGAAACGACCCAGAGGACTCTCTCTTCCTGTTAGAATTATTGACTTCCTGTTAGAGTTATTGACTTCCTGTTAGAGTTATTGACTTCCTGTTAGAGTTATTGACTTCCTGTTAGAGTTATTGACTTCCTGTTAGAGTTATTGACTTCCTGTTCGAGTTATTGACTTCCTGTTTGAGTTATTGACTTCCTGTTTGAGTTATTGACTTCCTGTTAGAGTTATTGAAAAGGTAGACGGCTGCTTAATGAGGTTCATGTAGTTTTAATGAGAAAATTACGCTTTGAATTGTAAACTGATTCCAAGTCTTGTCTCGGTGGTTTTTATTTGCAAAAATTTGTTCATCTCATCATTGATGTAATGAAGGGACTGTGAAAAAACTTTGTTACGTTAAATATCTTTTGTGCGGTTTGCGGTTGTTTTGTAGTTCATTTTCACAGGGTCTGTTGATTATTTCAGTCTGAGATACAGGTGCCTTCACGCAGCAAATGGGAAGAAATGGAGCCAGCGGAGGACAAACTGAGTAAGTGGCCCTTCATGTAGCTTTACGTGAAAAGCCGCATGCTAATTCCTAGCGTTACTGATGTTGTGTGGCATAAAATGATATACACATAGAATAAGAAAGATGTTAATTTTTTGTGTGTGCACAGTTGCACAAAAACCCTTTAGTTTTGTTTAAAAAAAAAAAAAAGACTAAAGGAAACAAAACTCCGAGACAGAAGTAAGCTGTTATTCGCGGCTCTATATCGAGTTATTACAATGTTTCGAACAGAAAAACCGCAATTGTTTACAATAGAACAAAGTATCGATTCTTTTCCGCTTGGAACAGAAATATGTAGTCTCATCTCACTTCGGTGTGATCACTTTTTTTTTTTTTCGCTCAGTAGAAGTGCATGAAATACAAAACTCGGTTACCAGCAGTGGTCATCTTTTATCGCGTGTCCAACGACTGCTCTTGGAAGCTGTTCGGTTCGAAAGCTCGTGTTTAAAACGTTACTGACCAACGATTGTTAGTGGTTTATCTGTTGTCGATGCATTTGTGAAAGATCAATTATATTGCCCCTCAACTTCTCAACCAGGATGGTGCAACAAGAAGTACGGATTCGATTTCAAAATCTGGTTTCCCTCTTGGGTTGCCTGTTTTCTTCCTTGCCACTCCAAGGGCTTTCTTCTGTGTTTAAAAGGTTTTCCCCCCCCCCTCTCCTCCCCCCCATTCTTCAAGGCTCTTAGGGCCTGTTTACATGGAGCTAGGGGACCCCAGGTAGTTGAGGTTCCAAACCCACCTGTCCATATAATCTCTTATTTTAGCTTGATCACGTTTACATGATAGGTAGGGTTACCCCTTTGGCTGGTTTCCCAGTTTGCTGGGTATGAGGAACTGTTTCAGCTGCGGTCGCAATTTGCTATGTAAACGTCTCAAGGTGGGGTAACGTGCCTAGCCGGGGTCGCCCTCACATTTGCAAGCGTGCCAACAATCGCACACCAGGATCCCGGAATTGTAAGATTGTATATGAACGCGCCCTATTTTCCACCACGGCTGCATGGGCGGGTTACCTCACCTTTCTTGGGTTCGCCACCTTCATGTAAACAGGACATTGCGAAGTGTTAAACGAGGTAACCTCTAAAGCTTAAGAACTCGTGCGATATAAACGCGCTGCCATGTCATCCTAGCCGTGCTGTAAGCGAGCTCTTCCGGTCTAAATTTCAAATGCAATCAGTGAGTAGAAAAGTATGGTAGAATTAAATGAACCTCACTGCGAAGCAGCTCTGTCTTTGCAAGAATTCTAAATTACTAAGAGCTATACATAGCAGCCATTCTCGTATTTGGAAAAAGGTACTAAGCATGGTTGCAGCCAATCCATACGTGGCTCAAGTGGCTGAAATGAAAACCGCTGAACATTAAGTTACTCTTACCGATTTGGCCGTGTTTTCTTAAAGCTGATAAATTGTAATTTAAAATATTATCATGAAACGAACCGAAGTGAGTGTGGTTAGTCGAGAGCGTTAAGTTACGTCTCTGGTTCTACGATCGCTTTCAGACTATCATTAATCCGATAACAAGAGTTGCATTGACTTGAAATGCCCTTTTACCATTAACTTTCTTAATCTGAAGATTATGTTTCGTAAGAGAATTGGTAAGAGTAAAACTGAGTTTTAGATTCAAGCATCTTGTCAATACCCCTGGGACCCTAACAGTTATCAGCGTTTCATTTCTCCTTACTGAAATACCGCTGAATCATTCACTCGGGTCACGCGAATAAAGGAAATGATTGCTAACTTGAAAAGCTTAGATTGTTAAACAGATTCTCTCTGTCACTACCAAAGGAAATGTTTAGAGAAAAGTATGAAGGATGTGGATACTGATGTAAAGGTTCAAGGGAACCTCCACTCATTTTACTAACAACGCTCAAAATGTTGCAAATGTCATTTTCAAGTGAACTGATTTTTTTATCGTTTTCCAAAGAGGGGTCTAACAGCCACTTCGAATTTCCCGCGGTCGCCTTCTTCAACGGTGCACCTTCTTGGACGGTGCACCTTCTTGGACGGTGCACCTTCTTGGACGGTGCACCTTCTTGAACGGTGCACCTTCTTAACGGTGCACCTTCTTAACGGTGCACCTTCTTGGACGGTGCACCTTCTTGAATGGTGCGCACTGTGGGCTCATGATGTGTATGCGCACTTGTGGTGAAGTTTTTTTTGTTTTGTTTTTTTACCTGCCCGAAATAGTTTTTATGACTGGCCACCTGATTTGTTTCCTTTCAGATAAACTTGACGGTATCCGTCTGATGAAAGGCAAGAGGAAACGACAAGAGTCGCCGCCGTTGCATTTGAGTGATGATGATGATGACCCGTACGATGAACGTGAAGAAGACATGCGCATTGGAAAGAAAAGGGTGAGTCATGTTTAGTGTTTTTAAGTCGGTAGGGAGTCTACGATTTTGCTGAAATAATTCAGTTATACGCGATTGGAAGCTTCACT